TATATTTATATATATATATATATATATATATATATATATATATATATATATATATATATATATATATATATATATATATATATATATATATATATATATATATATATATATATATATATATATATATAATTATAAAGTTTCAGTTTACGATTAGTTTTAGAAGTTAAAATCTCTTCAATATTACTGGTTGAAACCTAAAGTGGCTATGAGGTCTTAAAATGTATGGAAAGTCCTAAAAAAGGTCTTTTAAGGTAACAAATTTCACTCTGATTACTGTATATACCCTGAGTTTAGTTGGATAAGCTTCGAGTAGACCTAACTTGTGTCTGTTTGTTTTGTACATGTAGAGTATCGCTCCACACATGCGTTCATTCGTGCACACCGTACAGAAGAACCAGATCCTGATGATGACGCCTGGATCTCTAGGCCGCAGCACCATTATGAAGTCCTTCATCAAGCAGTCTGCCACCAAACCTGATGTCAAGGTAGGCAAATCTATGGGCAAAATCTATCATCCATGCGTTTTAAAGGCCCTATGAAATCTAGAGATGGAATTTTCTTTTTACTAGAGTAATTACATTTTAGTCTTGTTGTGCTTTATTATTAAGACAGTTGTTAATATATGAGTTGGTGCCAGCCACCTTTTCAGAAGCACTGGCATCAGTGTTTTTCCATAAAATTAAAAGATGAAAAGTAAATAAAGGAACTGCATTTTGGGTCCACAAACAGAAGAACAAGACTGTATTTATTCCTATAATCCCATGAAGCATTGCGAATGGCACGATCAGTTTTAAATGCACAAAGAAATCCTGTCAGTCGAGTTTGTTGTTTCTACCTAAAGACAATAAATTTCCAAATTTATTACAAAATGTGCATATGTATACAAATTTGTATCATTTTAGGGGACTATTATTGTTAAAAAAATCCCATTATTTTTTACAACCCGACTGTTCAGCTCTATTGCAATTTTGTATAATTGCGCAGATTTTGATTTATTCTTTAAATATTGGTCAACTTCTGTGACATTGCACAGTTATTTAAAATTTTCCGTTGTTATTTACTACTTTGCAGAAATCAAAGGGTCCCTTATTTTTGTGTTTTTAGAATAGACAAAGGCCGCATCCACACTCAATGTTTGCCATTATGCTTATCAAGGCAGAAGTGGTTTTAGTTGGTAATTGTACTTCCTGTCTTTTCCCCTCAGTTGGGCTCTGGCTCTGTGGTGAGTATAAACAGTGAATCCACATTGGGGTCATTTTTCATGTCAGTCAGAACTTTTTGAATTTGCTTATGTCAACACTCTGTTTTCCTGTTTTATGAGTGGGCTTTATGTATGTTTGTTTGTTTGTTTGTTTGGCTGGTTGGTTGGTCACTTCATGTTTACCTCATTCCTCCATGGGGCAGTGAATGCACTAAAATCTACACTGTAAAAAGCGATTAGTTCAGTTTAAAAGCAGTGGGTTTACTCAGTTTTTTTGCAAGTAAAGTGAGTAGTTGAGTTTACCTGTAAAAACGGAGTAAACCCGTTGCTTTTACAGGGATTAGTTAAGCTTACTTTAAAAAGTAATAGGTTTACTGTTTTTTTTTTTGTTTTTGTTTTTTGTTTTTTAAGCGATTAGTTGTTGACCTGTACAAATGGAGTAAACCCACTGCTGTTAAAGTAATTAGTTGTTTACCTATAAAATCGGAATAAACCCGTTGCTTTTAAAGTGATTAGTTGAGTTTGCTTAAATGAGTAAGCTAATTGCTTTTAAAGGGATTAGTTGACTTGATGTGAGTAAACTTAATGAACTGTGTTCATAATTATAAAAATTAAGTCATGTCAACAGTTTCAAGTTAAAGTATTTACTCACTTTTTTTAAGTATCTGTTCGCTTTTTACAGTGTAAACTAAATGGACCATCCCATTCAGACTGTCAGATTAACTTATCACTCATCTGGTGTTTAAATGTGCATCTTTGGCACTGTTTCCACCTGGTATTAACACACGTTTTTGTTGATCCAATCACAAGTCTACAGTGCTAAGTTAACGGAGTTTTGTCTACTTTAAGGTGGTGGAAAACATGTATGATGAGATTGCTGTTGTACTGTAGATGTGATTATTAATGTGTTAAAAGAAGCCTCAGAAAATGCCTGCTGAGCTTAATAACAACAGCATAACTTCTAACATAACTGTTGAAGGCCTAGTGGGTAATGATGGACACTTCACGCACTTCACGACTGCAGGTTTGCTTACGTAGCGGAAGGGGCGGAGCTATCGGATGCACATGTTGACTAACTTCATTTATTTTGGATGGTGAAAGCAAAATTCTCCTACGAGAGTGATTATAGCGCCTCCTGATGGTGAATGTGGCAATACTCACGGCAGGTATTATTTGATAATTCGTTCGTCTGTTGTTTATTTCACTGATTTGGCAAACGTCATCAGGGAAACGGTTTGAATATCCGCTTGGTAAAAAAACATTAGTGTGCCATTTGGGACGCCACTTTATACATATACTATCCTGTTGAGTGTGTAAGTGCATAAGTAAATAGTGCATAGTGTATTCACCTTATTCTCAGCTGACGAGTGGGCGCTGCCATTTGAATCTTTTTGTCTCGCGACTTCCGGTCACATTCACTTCCATTCATTTTTTTGACGTTAACAACTGCTCGTTACGCTGCTTGATGTTGCAATTTAATATTTTCTTATTATATTATGCTACTTGGTCTGTGTAGTCATGCAAACATTTGTTTGTTGAGCAAGTAGTTTGGCCATTTTGTGCCGTTTATTATTCCTTGTCATTTCTCCCATAGGCGACTGAATCGGAAGTTCTAAGACAATCGCGAAAACAGGCGCACTTCCGCATTTTAGAATAAGGTCAATAGTGTGCCATTTAAGACGCAGCTTGAGACTCATTTAAACACTGAATGTAGAAAGAAATATTTTTCCCTTGGCTGGCTTTGAACAGCTTGACCAAAACGCATGTTAATACCAGGTGTGAACACTAAACGAGGCCTTTGTGGCTTGGAAAGTTCAGATACCCGTTTGTGTATGTTAGCAACAAATCTGTGTTTATAATCTTCACTTTCTCCCAGAGTTAAAGCAGCTGTCTTTGTGTGGTTCGTCTTGTGTTGTCCTGGTTGAGGTCCCAAATCACTCACTCGCGATATTTGTTTAAAATGGAGTTATTTTGTTTAATTTTTCCCTAAAGGAGCGGGAACGGCAGAAGTGGGACGCCCTGAACAAGAAGATCGAGCAAGAGAACGAGCGCAAGAAAAAGATCGAGGAGGAGAGACGGAAGAAACAGGAAGAAATGAAAAAGTATTGACTAATTTAATCTTAATCATTGATCTTGTGTGAAGAGCATTTATCATATAGTAATTTAAAGTGTCCTAATATCATGTTGGAGTTCCCTACAATGCATCTAATCTCAGAAAACATTATTTCCTCAGAATGCGTGCTTAATGTTAGAATAATTGTACAGTTATTTAGATACTGTTTGTTTGAGTCCATTGTTGGGGTGTTTTCACATCTAGACTATTGTTTCAGAACCGGTCTCATTTTCCAAGTTAGCTTGGTTCGTTTGGCATATGTGAAACCCGCATTTGCACTCAGGTCCATGCCAATTCAGTCGGTCTGAAATTGCCTCAATGAGGTGGTCTAAGCTCTGGAGCGGATCGATTGTAGTGAGAAAGCAAAACGATTCAACAAAGTACGAAACAACAAACAGGCTAAATCACAGTGTATTATAATTGCAAAATAGTCATATATATATATATATATATATATATATATATATATATATATATATATATATATATATATATATATATATATATATATATAGATAGAGAGAGAGAGAGAGAGAGAGAGAGTGTGTGTGTGTGT